CTCCTTTTGCGCTATCTAGATGAAGGTTGAAGTTGGCTTCAAACCGTTTCCCTTGAGGTGCTTTGCGTCCCTGAGATTGCTGGTACAGCATAACCAGATGCTTGGGCATTGTGCACTTTTCAGTAGAATGCGTGGAGCATCCACACTTGTTGCAAAGCTTAGATTTATCAAACCTGAGCTTTGAAGTGCCTTTTCCCTTGCCTGGGTATCTAGATCGCCTGTTCCCATTGCGTTTTCGCTTATGCTCGAAATTGGATTGTTTACCCCGAGGGGTACCATTAAACTTCTGTGTATTTGCGACATTCAGATGGACTTCAGGTAAAGGTTGTGCCCCAACTGGGCGCTGAGAGCCATTCTTAACAAGTAGCTCATCATGCTTTTCAGCCTGAAGTAACATGTGAATAAGCTCGGAATAGACAGTGTAGTTACGAGCACGGTATTGCTGTTGGAGGATCCTATCTGAAGGGAGCATAGTAGACAAAGTTTTCTCTATCTTCTCCCCCTCAGTAGGTTCCTTCTCACAAAAACGCAATTTGGAACATATCTTATGAACAACATGATTGTACTCACCGATGGACTTGAAATCCTGAAGACGGAGATGTGTCCAATCATGGAGTGCTTCTGGCAGGACTACTGCCTTCTGCTGTTCCTACCTCGTTTTGAGGGCCAGAAACAGAGTACTAGGAGATTCCTCCTGTAAATACTCAGACTTGAGATCTGGATGAATATGGTTCCTTATGATGAATAAAGCAGCATAATTCTGCTGTTCTGTCAGCAGCGTGGCCCCATCCGGGAGAGGAGTCTCCGGGGGTTGTATTGCACGCGCTATCCCACGGGACGCAAGACTGATCATGATGTCCATAGCCCATGTAGGGTAATTGTGGCCATTGAGGGCAAGCTCCTCAAACTCTTTGGCAGTCATCTTCGCCTACATGGGAGAACCAGAGATAATTAATTTACGGGTGGTAAATTAAAAACCATCATGGTTGTGTAATAAGAATGCAAAAATTTGATACTCAAGTTTAAACTTGAAAAATTCTCAACCTCAATTGTGTGAACATAACACTTTGAAGATCACTTAGATCTCACAGTAATAGGCTACATCGCCATTACCTTGTGTATGCTACAATTCAAATATAAGGAATACACGTTGGAGGTAATCGTTTGTCGAGAATGACAAAGCGTAGACCTCACAGTAAGAGAGGACAGTCTGCAAATAAGCAGTAGATCACAACTCATTACCTTGTGATTCCAAATAAAATGAGGGAGAAACATTCAAAAATTTGCAAGTTTGATATGCGAGAGAAGATCTCAATCGCAAAGACATGTTCGATAAAAATGAGATGTGGTAAACACATGGAACATGTCATTCTTCCCAGATGAAATCCGATACTTTATTTATATTATCAATCCATTACATAATATAAACACACCTACTAATAATTACACAAGTCCTAACATAGAATAAATCTAGAACAGGACTAAAATGTAAGTAGTAGTCAACCTAAGCACTAAACAATACTAAACATAGACTAAAATTGCACAAATACAATAATTAGTACTAATGTTAAGAAAACAGAGAAAGAAAAAAAATCCACACTTTCTGGCCGGCCCACCTGCCACAACACTGAACAGGGGGGGGGGGAGGCCGCGGGCGCTTGGGCCTGGGCCTGCTCGGCCTTTGGCCGGCCCACACGCCGCCGCACCGCATAAGACAGGGGGGAGCGGGCGGATCGGATAAGGGTCGGAGTATCCGAACCCCGCACCACCACCTCTGCTCGATCCCCACTGTCACACGGCGGCGCCAGCGAGAGGAGGGGCCGCCGCAGGCCCTCGCGATTCCGGTGGTCACCGGCGTAGCACCGACGACCCCTCCTCGTCCGAAGAAGAGTCGACGACGTCGTGATCCGGGCGAGCAGTCCCTGGTGCGGCGCTGGCAAGTCCGAGGCTCGCCGGAGCCCACGAGCCGGCGCGGCGGGCAGGACGGCGCGCCCGAAAAGGCGGCCGAAGCGCTGCTCAGTGCGGCTGCTCGAGCCTGCGACCGTCTCCTGTTGAGGCGTGGCGGTGGCGGCACCGCCCTCCATGCCTGCTCCAAGGCGGACGACTCCGGAGGCACCGGTCGGCGCGGAGACAAAGGCGAGCGCCTCCTCCTCGTTCACGACGGCGCGCATCGGCACGAGGCAGTATCCAGGTGGGCCGGCGGCCTCGGCGGCGGGCATTGGCATCGACGGCGCGAGCCACGCGGCCGGCGAAGGAGGTGGTGGAGGCGGAGATCCAGGGGGCGATGCAGGCGCCGCTGCAGCCCTGTGCACCATGGAGGCGCTCGGGCCGACCACTAGCCAGGGGTCGAACCCCATGGGCGCCCGGCCACGGGCGCACGGGGCACCATCGTGGGCGCGTCCAGGGGCGAGGGGAGCACCACGGGGGGCACGTCCAGCGGCGCAGTGGCGGCCAGGAGCACCACGTCCAACGGCGCGGTGGCGGCCAGGAGCACCACGTCCAGCGGCGATGCGGCCGAATCGACGGATGGCTTGCATCCGGCGACGGAAACGGCGGTGGCCACCAACTCCATGGCGGCGAAGGGCAATGAGGCGGTAGCGGCGACCGTCCTCGCGGATCAGACGGAGGAAGAAGGAGGCGAGGCCTGTCATCTTACCGGTGGTAAGTGCTTCCTCTCTTCTCCTTTCTCTGTTGCCTTTTGCTCTCGCTGGTTGTTCAACGGGCTGATAACGTGTTTTGAATCGGAAGTGATTGATCGATGATTACAGAGAGTATATATATCCCCTGGAGAGATGCGACGATCCCGAAGAGATGCATCGGTTCCAGGAGGACGTGAGAGAGGCGACGGCTGCGACGGACACAGGCGTCCGTGCGGGCGCAACCGCTCGTTCGATGGGCAAAGGGAGATTTCCCTTAATTACAGATTATAGTTTAATCTTAACACTTTTTAACAGAAAATTCAGGGGGTCAAGGAGGCAGAAACTAGGATAGTACTATCTCCATCTCAAAATAACAGAAATGATAAATCAAACGTCAGCTTTTTGACCATGGCAAATCAAATGTTTTTAATGACAATTTTAGTTGACGCGGGAATGACAAGTTTAATTGGCAAGCATGGTAATTTCCCAGCAAAAAACAAACTGAGGCTGATTTGCCATAGTTACCAACTAAACTTGTCATGGTGAATAAATATAAATTGCCACAAAAAATATTCGGTTTGACATTGTCAAATCCTGAATGTCCGGGACTTATTGGCGTCCCAAAATAATAGGCGTTTTTAGAAGGATGTAGTAACTGTGAAACCACTTTTTTGCTACATGCAAATGTGAGACGTGGTATCATTTCGCCACTGCACCTTGGATAGCTGAATGCAATAGTGTTCCGTGTTATGCAGGTTTAAGTCCAGTTTGGATTTGCCATTCTAGTACGCTTTTATTTTATATGCAGTGGAGCTGTGACTTGTTGCTAGTTGGTGGTTCCCGAATCAGCGTTCATCGACCCGTGCTTACAGTAGCATGATGCACCTCTTTAATATCAAAAGATGTAAAATACTATGCTTCACTCGACGGCGCTCCGCCCACCGGATTTCAATTCCGCATCCGCCCACCGCAGCCCCAGCCCCATGGTGCGGCGATCCGCCCGCTCCTCAGCCGCCTGGTCTCCTCTGCGTCTTCCCTCCCGGGCCACGGTTGAGGCGCGCGCCGCATGGTGACCTACATGCCCGGGCCGGGCGATGGCACCCCGCGCCCTGTCACGCTCGTCCCAGATTGCGGCATCGGGCCCCTGGTCACCGGAGCCATGCAGCAGGTCATGGACGCGATGCACGCACCCTTATACTTCGAGACCAACAACGTTCATGGCGACATACCCGCCGCCGATCATCATCGACTTCATCAGCCACAACGTCTGCCTAAGGGGGGCCTCTCCATCCCCGTCGGCAGGCAGGGCCGGTCCTGAGAATTTGGGGGCCCGGGGCGAAACTAAAATGCAGGCCCCTCAATGCTAATAGAGGTACATACTTTGCACGTATAGAATTATATACGATCACATCACCACATTAATTCATAAGTAAATTTCTAAAAGAAGTATATTTTTTCTTTTTTTTCTTTTGAAAGGATGGATTCTAGTAGAATGCACGAAAATATTTAACACCGTGGCCTTCTTAATTTCATAATAATCCAAAGAAATTGAATTTGTAATGATGTGCGTGAGCACGAATATAATAAACATAATGAAAATTTGTAAGAGCTCTAAACTCAAATCAAATGAAAATAAATGTGTAGTAATGTTCTACAAAAATCATACGAAACTATATCCTTTTTTTGTGGGACATATGAAAATATCTCAATCAAATCTGAAACCTTCAGCTTTAAAAATCTACAGGTACTATAAACTGAAAGATAGTCACTCCATAATTGGTCTAATTAATTATGTCTAGCACAGGGCCGGCCCATAGGCCGGGCAAACGGGGCGCCCGCCTGGGCCTCCGGAAGGCAGGGGCCCCAGCCCAGGTATTATTGCCTCTAGTAGTCGGTCGATCTTTCCCGTTCAGCGAGAGTAAAGAGGGCCCGTTCAGCGTCGGTCGATCTTTCCCGTGCTCCTCTTTTCCTCTTCCCCAAATCGAGACTCCTAAAACAGCGCCGCGCCGCCGCCGTTCCCGTGCCGTATCCGATTCCAAGATCGCCGCCGGCCATTAATGGAGATTAAAGGCGCCAATCCACTCCCCAATCGACTCCCCTTCGTTCTTCAACGTTCTGCTCGTTCCCCATCAGCTGGACGTTGGAGAGGAGACTGTGCGTGTTCTTCTTTTCTTCAGACTTGAGCGGATCTAAGTTTGAGTGCTTGGGAGAACTGCTGAACTGGAGAAGGAGGGGTGTTCTGTTCTCGTTTGTGCTGACTGCAACCTGCGGATCTGCTGATTTGGCCACCTACATCCACATTCAGGTGCATTTGTTCTCTGTTTTAATCTTTTTATATGCTGCTTGTTCTTGTTTAGTGAGATGTCCTCTAGAAAGCATTTATCTGGTAGTGCCAAAAGGAAGAGAAAGAAGGAAAAAGATGAAGAGGTAAAATCCCTAAAAGGATCACTTAAGAATTTTTTCAGACCTGCTAGTTCTTCTAGAGATCCCCTGGAATTGGCCATAGTATGTGTTGAAGAACAACCAGCTGAAAATACAAATTCTATTGATGATGATATGAATGGCGGTAATAGCAATTCCAGTGAGCAAGAAAATGTAACTCATTCACCAAATTCTGAATCACCGGGTGTTGATAAACAACAACCATTCACTGTTGATATTTTTGATCCACGAAACTGGGATAATCTGGATGATAAGGCTAGAGATATTTTAGTTGAGAAGGGTCCCATAAGAAATGATGATATTGTGTTCCCTCCGGATAGTAACTCTAGATATTTTTCAAAATCTTATTATTCGAGAAAATTGAGCAATGGAGAGGTACATGACAGGAAATGGTTGGTTTACTCTGAACATGCTAACAAAGTGTACTACTTTTGTTGCGAGCTTTTCAAATCCCATAGCAACAAGAGTGCGTTAGCAGGTAATGGATTGAGTGATTGGAAGCATCTTAGCGAGAGGCTTAAAGAACATGAAAATGGTGTAGAGCATATTAAAACCATGAACACTTGGAATGAGTTAAAAGTTAGACCAGCCAAAAATAAAACCATTGATAAAGATTTGCAGCAGCAAATCAATAAGGAGAAAGAACGTTTGAGACAAGTGTTAGTGAGATTAGTAGCCATTGTTAAATATCTTGGTAAACGTAGCTTGGTTTTTCGTGGATCTAGTGAGAAACTTTACCAACACAATAATGGTAATTTTTTGGCATGTGTAGAGATGATTGCTGAATTTGATCCAATAATGCAAGAACATCTTAGACGAATTCAAAATGATGAAATTTATCATCACTATCTCAGCCACAAAATTCAGAATGAGTTGATTTCTCTATTGGCCTCTAGTGTTACTAGTTCTATCTTACAAATTATTAAAGAGGCTAAATATTTCTCCATAATTCTTGATTGTACTCCGGATGTTAGCCATCAAGAACAAATGACCCTAATTATTCGATGTGTTAACATGTCAAATAAGAAAATAAAAATAGAAGATTTTTTTATGGAATTTTTGACAGTGGATGACACTTCTGGTTTGGGTCTTTTTAATGTACTTCTTGACGCAATAGATTCTTATGGCTTAAATATTGATAATGTAAGGGGCCAAGGCTACGATAATGGTTCCAACATGAAAGGAAATAAACAAGGGGTACAAAGTCGTTTACTTGAAAAAAAATCCAAGAGCTCTATATATGCCATGTGCGTGTCATAGCCTCAATCTTACTTTGTGTGATATGGCAAATTCTTGCAGTAAAGCTATATCCTTCTTTGGAATTGTGCAACGAATTTATATTTTATTTTCAGGTTCCACTAAAAGATGGAAAGTTTTACTTGATCATATTCCTAGTTTAACTGTGAAAGGTTTGTCTAATACTCGGTGGGAGAGTCGAATCAAAAGTGTGAAAGCTATTAGATATCAAGCTCCACAATTAAGGCTAGCTTTGTCTGAGTTATCTAAAATTTGTGATGATGCCAAGTCAAAGAGCGACGCAAATAATTTATTTGATGCACTTGGTAGTTTTGAGTTTTTACTTGGCATGGTTATTTGGCATGATATATTATTTGCTATAAACATGGTGAGTAAGAAGTTGCAGTCCGCATCTATGTGTGTCGACTCTACCTTGCAGCAAATTGAAGGCGTAATGCAGTTTTTTGATAAGTACAGAGATGAAGGATTTGCATCTTGTTTGACTATCGCCAAAGGTCTTGCAGTTGATATGGGCATAGAACCATCATTTCCAATAAAACGTAATGTTACTAGGAAGAAACAATTTGATGAACCTAATAACGATGAAGAAGTTCTAAAAGCTGAGAAGGCGTTCGAAGTTAATTACTTCTTAGTTCTGGTTGATATTGCAAATGTCTCTCTGAAAACTAGATTCAAAGAACTCAAAGTGTTCAAAAATATATTTGGTTTCTTACTTAGCTCAAAAGACATGAAGTTATTGAATGATGTTGAACTACGCAAATGTTGTGCTAAGTTCGTAGAAACATTTTCACGAAATGGTTCATGCGATGTTGAGTTAGATGATCTTTTTTCCGAATTAAGACTGCTGCAAATGACCTTACCAGAATCAGGTTTGCCATTGCATGCTATGGAGATTTTTGAGTTTGTTAGAGATATTGACTGTTTTCCAAATGTTTTAATTGCTTATCGAATTCTGTTCACTATACCAATGACCGTAGCATCAGCAGAGCGTAGCTTTTCAAAGTTGAAATTGTTAAAGAACTATTTGAGGTCAACAATGTCACAAGAAAGATTAAATGGTCTTGCTACTTTATGTATTGAGAAAGATAAGTTGGATGAAATAAATGTTGATGCAATAATCGATGACTTTGCTTCTAGAAGTGTTAGACGAATTTCCAAGTTCTAGTATAGACGTGAATTTCTCAGTTTACTTTACTATGCCTTGAGCAGGAATGTTTGGAAGAAATGAGTCCGGGTGAAGATTTTTGGAGTGAAGAACATGGCCAATTGGGGAGAGGATCTAGAAACAAATGTAAGATCGTGCCTAACTTTTTATCTCATGGTAACACAAAAGATCTAAGTAGCAACCTGTTTTGACAACAATTTTTGTTTTGCAGGGCAAAATGAAGCCTCCATTAAAATTTAGAAATGCAAGCTTTTGTCGACCTACATCATTTCATTACTATCATGGTGTAGTTCACTTATCAATAAATAATTTGTATTGTCAGTTTTGGAGTACAAATTAAGATCATCAGACTATGCTATGTACTGGATATTATTTTGCCTTTGAAATATAAATATTTTGAGCTTTGGAGTAAACACAAGGGCCCCTTATTGCTGTCTTGCCCCTGGGCCCCGTATATCTATGGGCCGGCCCTGGTCTAGCATAAGTGGTTTGATTTTTTTGTGCGATAACCAGCATGTATACTCGGAAGTGGTTGAATTTCAAAACAGTAGTATACCTCGGATTGGCATCGGTCGGTCGGTGATCGGGCTTTTGGCGATGAACCGATGTGGAGTAGACTGGCATCTAGTAGGATGTGCTCGGCGATGTAGTCTAGCCAGCACGCGTGTACATCCAGCGCTTGGAGATCGGAGTTCGTAGGCGTCGTCGCGTTGCGGCTGCCGCTCGCGATTCGTAATTGGAGCGACGGGGCCAGGTAGAATTAGGGATAGTAGCCATGGAAGGAAAAGAAGGCAGGGCGATATTCTGGGCTCGTGGCGTCCTGAGATCGTGGGGAATCTGCATGCCATATTTCTTTCCTTTTGAGCAGAGCGTCTACGCGTGCACCGTGTCTACCTGGAAATGCCCACTGTTTCCCAGAACTTGGCCTTGACTATCTTGCTGAATACCTGGGCCATGGG